GCTTGACTTATTACTGTTATTCAAAAAAGGTTGAGATCATCTTCTTTATTTTAACTCTGCATTTTGCTGTGAGATAAGTTTTGATCATCACGTGAAAAAAATTATATATAGTTAGAAATAATTTATATTAAATCCTGAAGATATAAATATCGAAAACTGTTATTCGTTCCTCAATATTGTTATTCTGATAGAAATTACTGATTGCATCGATCCTTTGTTTCGACACATTCCATTGCAACGGCACTCCCTTTCTACCTTTTTGCAATGCACCTTAGAGACTTTTAAATATTCTCGAGACGTTTTGCTTCGTATCAGTATTAAACATACATGCATCTGCAGAGGGACGGTCTTCGTGTTAAAAATTGCATGATGATATCAATATCTATCGCGTATAAAAAGTCGATTATAATCATTAGTCGAGACATGTGATCACTAGCGGATCCTAGGGAGGGGGACGTAACCCCCCCTTTCCAAGTTTAAAAAATCAATTTTGCTGGATCCGTTTCAAGAATCTTGGTAAAAAATGCATTAAAGCAGGTCAAAACCCCCCTTATTATCGACATCAGGATCCGTTAGTGCTCCTACCAATTTGCTTAATCCACTTTTTCTGACTAAAAGATTATCAAATGTGGATCAAGCTTTTATTTGTAATTATATATCGAAAAAAGTAAATATTAATATTATACGGATTTATTATTATAAAAGTAAGTTTTGCTCACCTATCATTGTTTTGAGTCTGACAGCGCACATTATGTAATCGTCGAACGTAATCTTGCCGTCTTTAGTGCCATAACGGTGAACCAAAATATTAAGAATATGATTGTTTAAACGGTATCCTGCACTATTTAACGCTTGTCGTAATTCAAATGCACTTAAATATCCCGATTCGTCTCTATCGTATAGTTTGAAAACAGCCTAAAACATTTATTATTTATAATATAATATATATTATTTATAATACGCTTACAAATGATAAAACATAAAGATACTTTTTGAATGGGTAAAGTACAAATAATTGTACATAAAAATTTCAAACTTACTCTCCACTTTCTAATGTCGTTCCATAGCGTCTTGAATTCTTCAAAACCGAGTTTCCCAGAGTGATCTACATCTAACATGGCAACCATACTGCGACATATATCTTTGCTGAACCCTTTATCATGAGTATCTACAATTTAAGAGAAAAACTTATTATATTTTTTAGAAGATGAAATCTTTATCTATCGTTATTTTTTTCTTCACAAGATTTGCATGTATATGTATATAACAATAAAATTCGAATACACATAAAATTAAGGATAAGGTAAAAATGGCACAAAAAGATACTAGTCTATAACATATTTCAAGTGTAAAACAGAAAAAGTTATTAAAAATATAACAATGCTTTGAGAACAAAATAAAATTTTTAATTTTTTTAAATATGTTAGAATTAATTTATAATAATAATACAACTAAATTGTGTATTATGAATCAAGCGATTCGTTAATATAATATATCATTACTTTGTTAATCGAAGAAGCATGCGGTTAAATTGCAGACTGAATAGTTGATCTATTTCTTTCTATATGCTATTTTTACCTATTATATATTTTTTAATTTTAAATTAGTATTAAATCTAAATACGCGTACGCGCACACGTGTGTATGTGTGCGTGCGTGGCGTGTGTATGTGTGCGCGTGTGCACTTACACATAAGTGTATATAAATTTAACACAAATTTAAATTTAAATTTAAATTTAAATGAGTGCTAACTTCACTTTGACATTCACGCTTTCAGTTCACTGCTGGCGAAAAGATATTTTACATTTTAATAATCAAATGAATCATTATTCTACAATAATTATTATGACGAAAAATGCAACTGATACAACAATTTTGCAGCAGGAAATGTTATCTTACCTACAGGCTTATTGTATTGTTCATTATTACAAACAACGCCGCACAGCAGCGAGATGAGAATGTCGACAAATGAACCGTTTTCTTCAACAGTTTCGGGAGTATGTGCCTCGCTACGATGCGCCAACTGAAGTAATTCTAACCCGTAACACACACAGCTACATGTTAGCATCAACATTATACATACGTACACTTGGATCTTGAGCGTCCACAGCATCAAACGCGAAACCATTACTTTCAGGCTTAAATTTTAATTCACGTTCTAATTTTTGTACAACAGCAATAATCATCAATATGACTTTTCTTAATTAAATGTTCAACAGAAATCTAGCTTATTTATTTATATTATGTTTATGCGTTTATTAAAAAAAATCATACTAACATTATACAACTGATCAAACTTTTTAAATAAATTGCAAATTATTATTCTTTATTATTTTTTATAATATATTAGCATTAATTTCAATTATATTTAGAAGATCCAAATGTATTTATGTACTATACGAGTACTCGTATATATGAATTATATTAATTATAAGATAAGAGATAAGCATGCAAAATAATCGATTTGATCGTCAAGATGCTATACGAATGTCTCAACAAATAAATTAACGAGAAGTAAAAGAAGAAAAATCGTGATAAATTAATCGATTATTAAGCAAAAATTAGACATTGCAGATGACACATTTGTCAAATGGTATTTGAGAGACAGGATTAATGGGAAAGCATAATTTAATGTATAATTCGATATCAATGATTGTAAAAAATATTGAATAATTGAGCAAAAAAGTTACAAAAAGCTATATAAAACAAAACTGTTTATGCTTAGAGTAAAATACGATCGTGTTTGTAAAAAAAAATGGTATTGTATTAATAATTATGTATATTTTTTTACAGCAATATATATCGATCATTTGCTGCAACAATGACATAACTCAAAGTGCCATTTTTGAATTATTGAAGTATAGAAAAAATGGTTCTTACTTCTACTGCTAATAGACGTCTATTAGACGTTTTTTAGACCTGTTGTTCTCCTTGGGATAGTACTTTTGTCTCACTACAATATGTTATTATACCAATATGTCATTTCAAAATAATATTCTCACCAAAATTATAATGATTTAAAACATTAAAACTTCTTTTCTAGAAAATCGTCATTTTTCAGTTATGTTACTGTTGCAAATGAGCGGTGTGTGTGTGTGTGTGTGTGTGTGTGTGTGTGTGTGTGTGTGTGTGTGTGTGCGTGGTGTGTGCGCGCGCGCGCGCGCGTGTGTGTGTGTGTGTGTGTGTGTGTGTGTGTGTGTGTGTGTGTGTGGGGGGGCGGCGCGCGCGCGCGTGTGTGTGTGTGTGTGGTGTGTGCGTGTATGTGTCGTATATATATATATATATATATATATATATATATACTGTATATTAAAAAAAAATATATAAGGGTGGTCCATTTAAGTTGGCACAATTGAATATCTCGAAAACAATGCACTTCAGAAACAAATGTTTCGGATAAAAGTTGTTTGTTTTTTAGGAGAAAAGAAACATATTATTCATTTTTTATTTTGTATATGTTTTCAAGATTATTTGAAGATCAACTTTGTCTTTTCAAATGGGAACCTATTATTTTTTAACACCTTATTTTACATAAAAAAAACAACAAGCAACTTTGTCCGAAACAGTTTTTGATTCGACTTTTATTCTGAAAGATATTTGAGCATTAAAAATAGATGAGGCATTTAATTAGCACATCTGAATATCTTGAAGACAAAGCATTTTATAAAAAAATGTTTCAGACAAAGCTTGTTAAATTTTAAGGAAGGAATAGGTTGTTGTAATCCAGTGATGCGATCTTTCCCACAGCGGTCCCGGCTCGGCTGTGCTCGGCTGCCTCACACAACCTTACAGAAGCGCTACGTCACGTATCCGTGTGCACACAATTGGCGTAGTTACCAAAGGTCGAGATGATTACAACAACTTATTCCTCCATTAAAACTTAACAAACTTTATCTAAAACATTTTTTTATAAAATGCTTTGTCTTCGAGATATTCAGTGTGCCAACTTAAATGGACCACTCTGTATACAGAGTGTGTCAAAAGTTCCGGGACGGCTAAATAATTTGAAAAATACGCATCACAGAGGAAAATGACCTCGACAAAAGTTGTAGGATTTTTCTCGGGCAATCCGATAGTGACCTTAGATTTGGCTTTGCCCGTGAGCTTCAAGGTCATTTTAAGGTCAAATCGAATTTTTTAAATAGAAATCCCTATTTTTGATTCCAAAATCTAATAGCTGGTGTCAAGAGCTTTTCAAAACACTATAATGAAGTTATTTTTCATTAAGTACTTTTCGAGTTATGAGGCTTGAAAGTTACAGCATTTTGACATAAAATACAAAATATCTTGTAAAACATTCAGTTTTTGAGAATGTTACCTTAATACTTTTATGCACAAAATAATGAGACAAATGAATTGGTATAAAGAAAACATATTGGTTTTAAAAAAAAGTATGCAGTTGCATGTTGCAAATTACATATTTTTTCTTGAAAGCAACTATGTGTTTTCTTTATACCAATTGATTCGTCTCATTATTTTGCGCATAAAAGTATTAAGGTAAGATTTCCGAAAATTGAATGTTTTACAAGATATTTTGTATTTTATGTCAAAATGCTGTAACTTTCAAGCCTCATAACTCGAAAAGTACTTAATGAAAAATAACTTCAATTATAGTGTTTTGAAAAGCTCTTGACACCAGCTATTAGATTTTGGAATCAAAAATAGGGATTTCTATTTAAAAAATTCGATTTAACCTTGAAATGACCTTAAAGGTCACGGGCAAGGCCAAATCTAAGGTCACCATCGGATTGCCCAAGAAAAATCCTACAATTTTTGTCGAGGTCATTTTCCTCTGTGATGCGTATTTTTCAAATTATCCAGCCGTCCCGGAACTTTTGACACACGCTGTATACACGGACTAAGGGCCGTTTCTACCAACTTTACTTAATCGGCAGTTTAGTAAACCCTCGGTTAAACCTGAATCTGAGTTTAAACCAAAGTTAATGCTGATTGGTTTCTACCACAATTACATCGAGAATGATTAACTAAACCTATAGGCTGCGTTCCCATTTCGTCTCACTCAGTGCAGTATCCAGTGGCCGCCATTTTGCTGGATACTGCACTGGAGAAGCGTTCCCAAATTACTGGACTGGCTAGTGACTAGTAACAGCCTCGCACACGTATTAGCTCATAACCTAAATAAAATTGTTAGTTAATATGTAAATAGTGTTGAAGCAATTATTGCTAGTAAAGATTATTATATCGGTAAGTAAATATTTCAATTAGCAATGTATTAATAAGTGTTAGCGTTATTTTTAAATATTATAACGACGATTATACCGATTATTTGCTTGTATAACTTCACATTTAAAAACAATAAATTATTGTATATAATATTTATTGTATATAATTATTGTACATAATTTTATTTTTTCAAGTACACATTGATTTTTATTATTATTATTATTATTATTATTATTTATTATTTACATTTCCCGGCCGACGACATTCTGAACGAGGTACGATTGTCACTAGCCAGTCCAGTAATTTGGGAACGCTTCTCCAGTGCAGTATCCAGCAAAATGGCGG